ACGAGCTAAAAAACATTTTTTCACGAGTTACGAACAATATTTTTCATCACAATGTGGCGGAAATTGGACTTTTAGGCACGCGGAGCGTGCCGAAAAGTTCACTTTTCGTCACAGCGTGATGAAAAGGTGATTTTCGAAGCAGATTAAATGAGCCCATATCGTATAATTCCTGCTAGTGATGAAGAGTTAGGCAGTGAGGAGGATTTATTTACTGATGAGGAGGAGTTGATTGCTGATGTGATATTTGAAGAAAATGGAAATGAAATATTCTCCAATGAAGCAGCAGCAGGATCGCCAAAAACTCTTTCTTCGATCAAATACTATAACTTAAGGGCTTTATTGAATTCTAATGATCAAAATAATGTCAAGGAAACACAGACAAAAATGATTTTTGCTTTTCAGAGACATGTCACAGAATTCACCGAAGCTTCACTGAAATTTGGTGATTGATTTCTAGACATTAGTGATAAGTCATTGAGAATTCAGTAACGAAAATTAAATTTTTCAATCACATTTTTTTATGATTACTTTTTTAAATAAATGTGATCTTTTTTTTTCAGTGGGGGGGGCTTTGCCCCCTGGACCCCCTTTTCTCGTGGGGGGCTTCGCCCCCCCCACCCCCCACTCGCCCCCCCCACCCCCGAACTTCATCACGCACTTATCATATAAAATAGTATACGCAACACGTGCGGACAGCAGGCGGTATCACAGAGTAACCGCCTGCTTTCCGCACTAGTTACGTAATGTACTATTTTCTATCGGTGTAAAAAATGGATTAAGATTTTCTACTTTGATGGTAATTGCGGTAGACGGAAAAAATGACCAAAAATTACCGGTCATTTTGTCATCTACCACACACAATATGTGTTACTACCCATTGCTTATTTTTTTCTTCGGCTATTTTTTCGTACATTCGGTACTTGTTGTCCAAGTTACGTAGCCCTTTAATAATTTTTCTAGCGAAAGAAACCTAATAATGCCATGACTGACCTGTTCCCATTATTGGAAGTGTAAACAGCATTCAATTTAACTTCGCATATATTATATAAACAGTCTAATTGATTCTGAAATCTGGAAACCACAATTTCTGCGGTAATAGCAGTATAATTGATCCACGAATCATAAAGCAATACGCAATCGAATGGCACTCAAAACTAAATTATTCAATCGATGTGAAATACCATCGTATGTAACCGAACATAACAGGAGTATGAATAGATAAATGCCTCTTACCTGTGAACAGGCATGTTGACTAGAGTGCTGTGTGCAGGCAGCATTTGCTGCTGTGCATACTCCAGTCCCTGGTACTTTGAGTTGCTCCTTGTAGTCCGGCTGATAAGGTAACAACATACGTATCTTCCCCCATCGATTGAAGAACAGTGCTATCGCACCTGCCCATACAAGTAAGACCATTACTACTATCCCAACTTCCACTCCACGCACCTGATGAACAAGCAAATAGGAAATTGGAGAATATTAGTTGATAATAATGCCATTGTTCCATTAAATCTATTAGTGGTTTCCATGTTTCATTGAATTAATCGTTGCATTTTCACGGAAAAAAAAACATTGCGAAACTAATCTCATTTTTTATCAAGTTGGAGAAGCCTTTGAAATCACGATAGAATTGGAAATCAAATCACGTAACTGGAAAATTTGTTGAAACGTGTATCTCTGTACACTGAGAGAAAAAATTACTTTTGATAAAGATGATTTCTTTGATATATGAAAATATTCTCCTGCCAATTTGTAGAATCGCGAAATCTCCTGGTAAATAATTTTGTGCTCACGCTGAGAGAAAGAAGTCTTTCAACAGGATAAGATTCCCTTGTCCCAACAAAATTTTCAAGTGTTAGCATAAGTGTTCCCATAAATTCATATAGTTTGCGTTATATCGAGAATTTAATGGATTGTGAGAATTCACACTTTCCCGACCTGATCACTCATCATCTTCAACTGAGGAATTCTTGTTTCAATTACACGACGAACACATTCATTATCAATTCAAGTGTATAGAAAATTGATGTCAAGTGTTGTGCTCTTTGTGCAAAATTTTATATAATCAAAGTCCTGATGAAAACAAAATTTTAAATATAATGCAAACTTTATGAATTTATGGAAAAGACATCATTTTCAATATTGCGAACGCTTAAAAATTCTCTCGGGACAAGAGAATTTCATCCTATTGGAAAACTTTTTTTCTCAATCTGAGAACGAAATTATTTATCGGGAGATTTCACGATTTTTTAAATTGAGAAGAGAATATTTTCTTGTATCAAGTAAACCTTCTTTGTCAAAGGTAGTTTTTTCTCTCTGCGTATACATAAAAATCACGTATCTCGAGAATTTCAATAAGAGTAAAGTAGACGAAGCGCCTATGAATCAGTGTACTCCGAGAGGAGCCTAGTAAAAACTCTGCTTGAATCCGCGAAATTCGCACTGTGAGCGCGCAGTAGAGTGCAGCATTAAGTTGGGCGGGCACCGTCCTATATGCGCCTCTACACTCCACTTCTTTCAGTTCTGTCAATTTAGACTTTGAAGTGGAAATAAAATTTCTACCGAAAAAAAATACTACGGTGTTCAGAAAATTTCCCTGATTAACATAGCCAAACATGCATTCTTGAAAATGTCCGTGAATATAGTTATTTAATTTGAAACCATTGAATATTCACCTGTCAATGAAACTCAATGGAAATCTGTCATAGCCGTTTCAACATAAAATAAAATTTCTGGGTTTCCATGAACAAACGGGCTAGATTGACTGGTAACCTGAAAATAAAATTTCCGGGTTTCCATGAACAAACCGGCTAGATTGACTGGTAGACTATTTATGTTGAGATGGCTATGGCAGATTTTCTATTAGGTTGTATCAGTTTTATTGAAACATAAAGTACAGAAAGTAAGAATGAGAAGAAGAATATAAAATTACAAGTAAAACTAGGTAGTGCATCCGGCATTGCCCAGAAAATTTCCTTTTCCCGCATTTCATTTTAATATTTGAAAATTAGGATTTGTTAAGAATTTCACCAAATTTTCTGACAGTCTCAAATTCTCCAGAATTTTTTTTTTTACGAAAAATTTTCTAGAAATTTTGTAGAAAACACGTGAATTTTTATGAACGTTCTAGGAAACTTGAGATTTCTCTCGATTTTCTCGAACTTTTTTTTTCGAATTTTGTAGAAGACAGGATTTCTTGATTTTTCGGAAAAGCCCCGGAATTGCCTCGAATTTTCCAGAAAACTGTTGAATATGCTGAGATTTTTTAGGAAAGGATAGGCTTCAGAAAACGCTGAAAATGGGTAGAGAAATTGTCATAACGAGAGAGTAAATGATTTGTCTCATGCTATTTCAGCAGGTATATTTCTCCTAAAATGAAAAACCCGAGTACTCTAGAGTGCAGAAGCTTTAGAGAGAGGGTTTTCGCAGTATGGTCAAGTGATTCCTCTTCCCATCTTTCTTTCCTCTGTTGATTAATACAAAATTGTAATAAAAAAAAAACCATTATCAAGTCAACTCTCGCAGTTTATTTCCCTCAATTTCATTTCTCAATTTTCTTTGAATTCCAAAATTGACCTTGAGTGTGTCGAAATATTAGCTTCCAGGTTGAAAGAGAAAAATCTAACCATCGACGTTCGTATCAGCAGCTTTCGTAACCGGATAAGCCACTTGCATCAATTTTTCACAGACGAATTTGACCTCTCTTACTGCTTCGATATCGATGACTTGATGAAGAGTATGGGCATTGAAGACGATCCAGATGAGTGGAGATTATTCATCGATTCGTCAACCAGCGTCTTGAAGGCTGTGTAATTACGCCCTGGTAATATTTGCCCTTCATTACCGTCAGCATATTCGGCCTCACTCAAAGAAACGCATACTAATGCCAAGCTTGTATTAGAAAAAATTGTATATAAGTACAACAAGTGCCATATCTCTGCTGATTTGAAGATGGTTGCTTTGGTTTTTGAGACGCAACTTGGATGGACAAAGTATTGTTTTCTTTGCAAGTGGGACAGTAGAAGCCAAATACAGCATTATGAGTGCAAGAATTGGCCTGCTCGTCAAGACTTCATCCCTGAAAAGAAAAATATTATCCAAGTACCACTGAGTCCTACAAAATTTTCCTACCACCACTCCACATAAAATTAGGATTAGTGCAGAGTTTCGTCAAATCTCTGCAGAAAATGAATCCGCTTTTGTCTACTTGAAAAAAATCTTTCCTAAACTGAGTGAAGCAAAAATCTAAGCTGGAATTTTCGTTGGGCCTCAAATCACAAAGTTGATCAATGTTGATAATGAATTGGAACACACTCTAACTGAAGTTGAACTAACGACATCGGAATCTCTCTTTCTCCCATGCGAAAGATTCAACCAAGATATTGCTGTAGTTGAACGACGATACAAGGATGCCTTGAAAAATTTCCTTGGAAGTTATCGTTCTCCAGATTATTGCAATATTTTTGCCGAAATGCTCTGTAATTTCAAGGAAATGAGTGTCAACATGTCTCTGAAGACACATTTACTAAATTCGCACTTGAAATCCTTTCCAGAGAGCTTGGTGGGCGTGGGTAATGAGCACGGCGAAAGATTCAACCAAGATATTGCTGTAGTTGAACGACGATACGCGGAAAAATCTTCTATGATGATGATGTCTGACTACTGCTGGAATTTAATCACAGCATTTGAGACGATGCATAAAAGAAAAGCTCCAAGGATTTCGTTTCAAAATGTTGAAGAATCAAAAAAAATCAATTTGACCCAGTCCGACTATTGAATTCATGATTCAACAATATTTACTCCAAGAATTTTTATTTCATTAATCAAAACTTAATCCTGCATTCAAATGGTCTTTTTTTATTTTCCCACTTTGCTTCTGAAGTATTTGTCTCAACTATTGTAAATATTGAATATTTGTCATAAATTACTTTCTAATGTCAGCAAGAAATGTAGTTGAAAATAATTCTTTTATATATGATAAGTAGTGTAGCTCAGCTTCTGCTACGCCACTTGGTTTGATGAGTTTCCAATCCCAAAATAAAAATTTCATCCTCGAGAATGGATCGCCCGTTGGCTTCATGATGGCTTCCTTCTAGTCACGAATTATGTTAACTCCGGGCAGGATTATCATGAGGTGAAGCCCTAGAGAAACCATAGGGATGCAAATTTCGAAGGTATTGGTCTGATGAAGTTTCAAATAAATACCTTTTCTTTGAGGTTCAACTATGTCCAAAAATTACCCGCCTAAAGGTTACGTTGCACTTGAATAAAAGCAATGACGAGGTGTCCCAGTCCTTTACGATCGAATTTTACAAAAATTTGATTTAGTTTAATCGGATTTCTTAGGTTGAGTTCAAACATGTGGTTATCCTAAGACGTAGTGATGCAACTTCAAATTGCTCCTCGACTCCATTCTTTTGATAACAAATTTACGTTTTAATGTTTGTATAAAATAATGTTTAGAGAATCAATTAGCTCAGAGAACTGAAAAGGTCCTACGTGAAGAGCACAATAAGATGTGTTTGATTTTTATGCGATTTATTACATGTTAATGGCAGCTCTCATGATTTTTTATTGAATTTTAAAAAGTGTAAATTTCACAGATTTTGAAGATTTTGAAATTGTTTTTCTCGAAAACGATGGCACCTAGAGAATTTGGCCAACGGATTTGGATAATTGGATTCTACACGGACAAATCTTTGAAGTTCTCCAAGTCTTTTCTACGGTACTGAACCTCCTAATCCTTCTGCTCATTTTTCTGTTTTCTTCATTTCCAAATTTCGAAATTGTCTTAATAGAACTAAGTTTGAAATAAAATTTCAATTAGGGCCTGTTAAATTCCTTGAGTCAAATTCATGGCTTATTGAATTTATATTAACATGCATGTGGTATCAGATCACGTTCATGTCTACGAAATCAATACGGCCTCCATATATAATACACAATAGCGGTTAAAATACATTGGAAATTAATTCAATCACTCTATTCTTTGTATAACCTGCGGTTGACAATAAGACCAAATTTCTCCATTATGAGTTTCTGAATCGGAGCAAACCATTGAAATTATTTAATTTGAAATGTCATGGTCGATTGCTGCATAAATTATCATTGAATTTTCAATGTAACTGTTTCGGTCAGAATCGATACCGCTCTATTTCAGGATAATTGAAGTTTCCTTTGCAGTCGAATTACAATAATTATATAATTGGTGAAGACCGACGGCGGTGGCTGTGTGGTTAGAGTGTGAGATTGCGGGAGACCTGGGTTCGATTCCCGGCTGG